CCACATAGATATCAGCTAGCTTTTGAATTTTAAATATTGTAACTGAAGAAATTCTTCAGATATTGTTTGTTGTAAAACCCAAGTATAAATCTGGAACAAGTCTTGTAATATGAAATTGAGTAAAAGAGCTTTATTTCTATATGGTATTAGAGCATTGATCTTGCAATTATTATTATTATTATTTCCGCAACTCTTTATTAGTAGCTCTTTCTACCTTCTAGTTACCTCTTATCAGTAGCTCCTTCTACCTTCCATCAGTAGCTCAGTTAAAATGGCTCAAACCATTTCAAGTTTGTCTATTGGTAACTATGTTTCAATCAAGTTAACCATGACAAACTATCTTTTATGGAAGACACAAATTTGGTCTTTAGTTGAAGGTGAAGATCTTGTTGGCTTCTTTGACAGATCAGTCAATGAACTAACAGAATTTGTTACTCAAGATGGCAAGGATGAAACAATCAATCCTAGTTTCGTGAAATGGAGAAAGTCTGATCGAATGCTAAAATCATGGTTAACTGGAACCATGTCTGAGGAAGTTCTTAGCCTTGTTGTTGGACTACGAACAGCTAAAGACGTTTGGAGATGCCTAGAACAGACATTTGCTCGGGCATCGAAGGATCGAGAATTACAACTTCAACGACAATTGCAACTGATTCGCAAAGGTACGGATTCAATTAATGATTATATTTGGAAGTTCAAAAAAAATTATCTTGCAGCCATTCAAAAGCCCATCTCTAATGACGACAAAGTATTTTGGCTCTCCAATAGGTTAGGGCCACAATACGAAGGTTTTGTAACATCAATGATAACAAAACCCCCAATGCCATCATATGAAGAATTTATTGCAGCCTTAGTCAGTCATGAACTAAGAATTCAAGCATATGAACAAACTGAAAGCACACACTCAAATGTTGCTTTCTTCGGCAATCGTTCTTCTGTTAAAGGAAATGGCTGATCCAATGAAAGAGGGAGGAATTTTAATAAAGGCTTCAATTCAAACAAGGGACAACAAAGTCAAGTATTTAATTCGAATGTCAGACAGAATGAGTAGCAAATAAACATCTCTCCTCAACAAGCACATAAAGGAAATCCAACTGCACAATGGAATACAAGAATTCCTAGCTATGCCGACAAGCAAAAGCATCGAAATTCTAGCAGACCTCAATGTCAAATTTGCAACAAATTGGGTCACACTGCTATCAAATGTTGGAATCGTTTCGATCATTCATACCAAGCTGATGGTGTTCCTCAAGCCCTTGCAGCCAAAGATATCTCAAATGGGTCAGATCCAAATTGGTATGCAGATACTGGTGCTACCGTCCACCTCACTTCTGGAGAAGGTAACCTTACTAATCGCTCTCCTTATTATGGTGACGAGGCCGCTTGTATACGTCAAAATAATGTAGTGAATGTGCGGTTCAAGAAAAGCCTCTTAGGTCAAATTTAAATTTATAAAAACCACTACTACTAACGTAACAAGAGTGAGTAGGGATCGTCCCAAGGGATTATACTTGTTGGAATTTAACTTTGACTCTAATGTATCACAAGATTGTAAAGAGATTTGATGAGATGATTAAACTACTTCAATTAATGAAAATACAATTAAAATAAAACTAAGTTGAGATAGGGATTTAAGAGATATGAAGAGAGGTCTTAGGGTGTTGGAATCACTACTAAACTCATGTAATTAACCATTTGCTTTCTATTAATGGGGAATACATTGTTATGACAAAATGCGACTACCAATTGCAATATTAAGCATGGACCATCAAATTCATGTATGAATTGTCTACCTAACCAACAAATAAACTAAGTGTAGAACAACCCATCAAATCTAAGCATGACCCATCAAACTAGTCACAATTGTAGCACACATCAATCTAGAGAATCATGAAATTTGCAATAATAAGCCATAGAATATCAAATCAAGTATAGATTGTCTACCTACCTACAAACATGAATTAAATTATAGAACAACCCATCAAGTATAAGAATAATCCATCAAATTAATTGACAAACCCATCTAATGAAAACCCATGTTTAGCTATCACTAAATCCTTAATTAATCACACATAGACATGCAACCAACATAGATAATCTAGTGTAGAGATCAATTCCCCAAATAATCACACATAATACAACATGTAATCAAATAGAGAATCAATAGAAAGAATTAATCCATATAAATCATGTAAGAGATAATTCCTAATTTAATCACACATAGACATGTAAATAAACTAGAGAATTAATAGGAATAATTAAACCATAGAAATCATAGAAATTTTCCAAGATTCGTTAAATTCACAAGGCTAGAATACTAATCACAACAATATATATATAAATCCCCAAAAATAGAAATACAAGAGTTTAGATTACACAAGACTTAGGGCTCATCCAAGCCCTAAGTGTAGATCTAGCCAATCATGGAGGAGGTAGATGTGGTCATGAAACCTTCAAGGGCGAGCTCCAAACATGGCTCCATCTTCTTCTTCTTTTTCTTTAAAGCTCTAGAGAGAGAGAGAGAGAGTGGATCTAGAGATGTGCCTCCACTTCCTCTCTTTTCTTCTAACCCTAATCTCTAACTTTCTAGAGAGAGAAAGTAATGAAACTATAGAAATTACAATCTAAAATATGAATCTCCCTACAAAAATGGTTGAATCCCTCTTATATACAAGGCTTTGAGAGCCCAAATATGTGAGAACTCAGGCAGAGCTTCGAATAAGAGATTCTAGGGCCGAGTTCTCATATATTTGGGCTCTCAAAGCCTTGTTTGTAAGAGGGATTCAACCATTTTTGTAGGAAGATTCATATTTTAGATTGTAATTTCTATAGTTTCATTACTTTATCTCTCTAGAAAGTTAGAGATTAGGGTTAGAAGAAAAGAGGGAAGTGGAGGCATATCTCTAGATCCATCTCTAGATCCACTCTTTCTCTCTCTCTAGAGCTTCAAAGAAGAAGAAGAAGAAAATGGAGCCATGTTTGGAGCTTGCCCTTGAGGGTTTCATGACCACATCTACCTCCTCCATGATTGGCTAGATCTACACTTAGGGCTTGGATGAGCCCTAAGTCTTGTGTAATATAAACCCTTGTATTTCTATTTTTGGGGATTTATATATATTGTTGTGATTAGTGTTCTAGCATTGTGAATTTAATGAATCTTGATATATTTCTATAATTTCTATGGTTTAATTTTTCATATTAATTCTCTAGTTTATTTACATGTCTATGTGTGATTAAATTAGGAATTATCTCTTACATGATTCATATGGATTAATTATTTCTATTGATTCTCTATTTGATTACATGTTGTATTATGTGTGATTATTTGGGAAATTGATCTCTACACTAGATTCTCTATGTTGGTTGCATATTTATGTATGATTAATTAAGGATTTAGTGATGGCTAAACATGGGTTTTCATTAGATGGATTTGTCAATTAATTTGATGGATTATTCTTATGCTTGATGGGTTGTTTTACAATTTAATTCATGTTTGTAGGTAGGTAGACAATCTATACTTGATTTGATATTCCATAACTTATTATTGCAAATTTCATGATTCTCTAGATTGATGTGTGCTACAATTGTGACTATTTTAATAGGTCATGCTTAGATTTGATGGGTTATTCTACACTTAGTTTATTTGTTGGTTAGGTAGACAACTCATACATGAATTTGATGGTCCATGCTTAATATTGCAATTGGTAGTCGCATTTTGTTCACAACAATGTATTCCCCATTAATGGAAAGCAAGTGGTTAATTACATGAGCTTAGTGGTGATTCCAACACCTTAAGATCTCTCTTCATATCTCTTAAATCCCTATCTCAACTTAGTTTTATTTTAATTGCATTTTCATTAATTGAAGTAGTTTAATCATCTCATCAAATCTCTTTACAATCTTGTGATACATTAGAGTCAAAGTTAAATTCCAACACATATAATCCCTTGGGACGATCCCTACTCACTCTTGCTACGTTAGTAGTAGTGGTGGTAGTGGTTTTTATAAATTTAAATTTGACCTAAAAGGCTTTTCTTGAACCGCACATTCATTACATTATTTTGACGTTTACAAGCAGCCTCGTCAAATTTTGACGCCGTTGCCGGGGATTGATTGATTGGCAATGTCGCCAAAAACTATGATGTCTTCCCGAGCATGTGCACAAAACAATGCAGAAAACTTTGAATTTGGAAATTAGTGTCAAGTGGGCACCATAATTTAAATTTATAAACCGCTTAACACCTATACTATGTAGTATGAGTGAGAAGGGATCGTTCCAAGGGATTGATGGTCGTACTAGGTTGAGGAATCAAGATTAGGGTTAGTAGGTCGAGTGATCAAAATAGTGGTTGGTTGGTTGAATTAAACTAGATGCAAATTAAACCAAAATAAACAATAATGCAATAAGGAGAATAAAAAAGAGAGAGATATTGGGGTTTAGAGATCACCATTAAGCATACTTTCTATACCTTTAATGAATGATTAATGGGGGGAAAAACATATATTGCAACAATGTGTGTGTGTGTGGGTGGTTGTTTCAACAAGTATGGATGACAAATTAAACATATATTGTCTAAACAACGTGGTGGATAGCACAACATATCAAATTAAGCCATTAATCCTTTCTTTAAGCTCACAATCCAAACACATCACATGGTTAGAAATATATGTTACTTGCTTTCATAAGTATGGAACAACAACAAGCATGGATTGTCCTCCCATTTAACAACTACACTACAACTAAGCTAATGACATGAAATTAAACTAATTAAACTAAGGGAGATGTACAATCCATCAAGAAATAAGTATGAACCATTAAATAAACTACAAGAACATGCCATTAAACACTATGTCTTGACAATCTCTAGATCTATAGCATCAATACACATAGACATGCATCAATAACACAAGAAATAGAGACAAACACATGAACATCTATTCTAGCATACATAGACATATGGATAGAATGAAATGATCACTTGGAAGCATTAAACCACATAAATCATTGAATAAACAAGATCTATATATATAAAAGTGTCAAGACATGAATCATAATACAAATCCCCTCAAAAATACATAAATCAAGAAGTAAAAAGCATGCTTAGGTCTAGCCACTCATGGATGATGTCCTCCACCTCTCAAGGGCAAGCTCCATGGAAGAAATCTGCTCCTTGGTTGATGAAGAGTCTCCAATGGTGTCTCTAACCTCCTCCTCTCCTTTGCTTCCTTACTAAGTATTATTTTCTCTAAGTATGTGTATATGTGTAAAAGTGGCTCATATTCCTTATATATGTAGGTCAAAAATCACCCCAAATGAGCTAGGCTCGTACACCAATAATCCTCTAATGATTGGATATGAGATAACTTTTAATGAGCTGGAATTTAAATTTTTCTCGGGATTTGGGAAGTGAGATCGATCGAACATGGCTGAGATCTATCGAATTGAAGCTGGATCGATCCTCAATGGAGGCACCTTTTTGGATAAAAACAAATCTGAGATATTTTAAAGATATTTTTGGGAAAAGGATAAAAGTGGTTGATATGGTGGTACAGCTGGATAAGATCTGACATGTGGATAAGGACAAGAAAGTTCGATTGATCAGAGAATGATGTTGGATCTATCGAACTTTTGGGATCTCTGAAGAGGACATCATGGCCTGGATCTATCTTGAAGTGCTGAGATCGATGAAAGTTGGATCGATCGAACTTTTATTGAGATCGATCGAAGTTGCTGAAATTTCACCATTTGCTTCCTTTTGCTCTACTTTGCTCATTTCTTTGATTCATCCCAGAATTGCTTCATTTCTGCTTATTTGGCTGAGTTAGCTTATTTTGGGGATAAATACCTGAAAATGGAAATAACACGAAATCAATACAAAACGGTAAAATAAGATAGATAAAGGTTCTAGAATACCTAAGCTTAAGGAGTTTAAATACGTACTTTTCAGCGCTCATCACATGATAATGATAGGATTTATGTAGGAGATGGCAAAGGACTGAAAATATCACATATTGGTGATTTGAATATACCTTCTAATCCTAAAAATATTTCTTTGAAAGAAGTGTTAGTGGTTCCCCAAATTAAAAAGAATCTCATCTCTATTAGCAAGCTTACTGAACAAAATTCTTGCATAGTTGAGTTCTCACCAGAAAATTTTGTTGTTAAGGATCGAATGACAGGAAGAATCCTAGCAACGGGGAGTAAGAAGGAAGGACTTTATGCTTTGGATCAGGAAAACCATGTTTTACTTACTCTTAAGTCCGGTAAAATTCCAGAACGAATATGGCATGAACAGTTGGGTCATGCACATTTGAAAACTTTGAAAAATTTAAATTCTCATGAATTTATTAATGTTAGTGCTTGGAATAAACCAACTTCTATTTGTGCAAATTGTCAGATGGGCAAAAGTTGTAAGTTACCTTTTTCCTACTCTTAATAAAAGAGTTGAAGCTCCCTTGTTTAAGATTCGTTCTGATATTTGGGGGCCTGCGCCTGTTGTTTCTATAAGAAAATATCGTTATTATGTGATATTTGTAGATGATTGCACCAGATTTACTTGGATTTATCCTTTGAAGCGCAAATCTGATTTCTTTGAATTCTTCAAAACTTTTCAGCAAATGGTTGAAAATCGGTTCAATACTACGATCAAAATTTTTCAGTGTGATGGTGGCAGTGAATATATCTTGACAGCTTTTCAAAAGCATCTGAACATGTGTGGCATTGAACAATAATTTTCTTGTCCTGGAACTCCTGAGCAAAATGGAGTCGCAGAGCGAAAGCACCGTCATATTGTTGAGATGGGACTTACATTAATGATTCGAAGTGGAGTACCAAAGCATTTATGAGTTGAAGCATTCTTGACCGCAGTATACATTATGAATCGATTGCCTACTTCTGTTCTTAAAATGAATTCTCCTTTTATGGCATTATATGGTGAACATCCAAATTATTCAATGCTTCGAACCTTTGGCTGCAGATGCTTTCCCTATTTGCGTGACTATGCTGCAAACAAGTTTAGTCCTAAATCTTATCCATGTATTTTCCTGGGATATAGTCCGCAACATAAAGGTTATAGATGCCTTTATCCTCCTATTGGCAGAGTGTACATATCCCGCCATGTCATTTTTGATGAAAATGAATTTCCTTATACTAACCCACCATCTTTATATAAAACGGACACTTTTCAGGGTGTTCTCACAGAGTTTGCTGATATTTCTCACCAACTTATTCCATCTCTATCACCCACCAATGATTTGGAGAGTCAACCACAACAGGATGTACCATCATTTTCACCCACAACCCATGACACTTCTCCAACTAGCCAAATAGTTGACTTCTCACCTTCACCTATTACCCATTTACCTCCAACCCAAATTAATCAATCTCAACATATGCCTTCTGTCATTTAAGAAGCCACCCCTTCCTTTACAACTCTAGCCAATGAACCATCCAATCATCCTATCCCAAATGAACCTTTAAGTCTTTTTGAAGTCCCTCATGCATCTGCACCTCCCATGCCTCATTCCATGGCTACACGAGTTAGAGATGGGACAATCCAACCCAACAATTACAGAAAGCTTCACCATGGCCTTCATGTTGATAAAATCAGTACATCCGAGCCTCGAACAATTCGATCTGCTTTAGCTATTTCTCATTGGCACTCAGCAATGCTTGAAGAATTACAAGCGTTGAACAAAATAATACTTGGGATCTTGTTGAATGCACTTCAGACATGAATGTTATTGGGTCGAAATGGGTCTTTAAAACATACATTGAACGATTCAAGGCTCGTCTTGTTGCCAAGGGCTATAATCAACTTGAAGGGATTGACTTTGATGAGACATTTAGTCCTGTTGTCAAAGCTGCCACAATTCGTCTTGTTCTTGCATTTAGTCCCGTTACAATTCGTCTTGTTATAGATCCGGTTTGAGGCTCAACCCGATTTGAGATCCGGGTCTGGTTCGACCCGAATTCTTTTTGATACGGGTCTGGTTAGACCCTATTTTCCTGATCCGGGTCTGGTTTGACCCTATTTTCCTGATCCGAGTCTGTTCTGCTCTGCTCTCCTTCTTCCTGCATTGTTTGGTTCTTCTTCTGTTCCCGATTCTGTTCTGTTCTTGCCTTCTCTTTGGATAGGTGCACTCATTATTTTTTATTTATTTATCTATTTTCTTCTCGGGACAGTATTTCTCTGCCTTTTCGACTTCTGTGTGTCTTTCTTTCCTTTTCCAGCACCAACAAAGAAGAAAAAAAAACTGGAAAAGCTTAATTTTTTTTTTTTTCTCTCTCATAATGTCAGTTGCTTCTAGCACTGGTAGTGTAACAATTTCTCGAGCAGAGTTTGATGCCTTGTTCACCCAGGCACAACAAAACCCTATTAACAGTATGGGTACCTTTGTCCAGTCCGGTCATTTACAGTCCTCGTCTTCAACTTGGGTTATTGATTCTGGGGCATCCACTCATCTTACGGGTAATGCGTCTCTTATATCTCAATTACACAAATGCAATTCCACATCGTTTGTTTCTTTGGCTGATGGTAGAACTCGTCCTATTATTGGTCACGGTACAATTCGGCTAACCTCTTCTATTGTGTTACATAATGTGCAACTGGTACCTCAGTTTCCTTTTAATTTATTATCTATGAGTACGATTACTCAAGCACTAAATTGTTCTGTCACCTTTTATCCTTCATTTTGTGTCTTTCAGGACCTCAAAACAAAGATGACAATTGGTGGTGGCCTTGCGAAAAATGGTCTATATTACTTGGATGGTGAGTCGCCTACTAGTGGTACTGCTCTTCATTCACGGGTCTCTGCCAATGCCCAACAATGGCATTATTAGTTGGGTCATCCATCCAGGTACTTGAAGTCTGCCATTGCTTCTTTTGGGTCAGTGTCTTCTTTAGACTGTGAGTCGTGTCAATTGGGTAAGCACCATAGAGTGTCTTTTCCTCCTCGTATTAATAATCGCTAGTCTTCTTTATTTGAATTGGTGCATACTCACATTTAAGGTCCTGTGCATCATGTTAGTAATTCAGGTTTTTCATATTTTGTTACCTTTGTGGATGAATATTCAAGGATGACTTGGCTGTTTTTAATGAAAGACCGGTCTGAACTTTTTTCCATATTTCAGTTATTTCTTAAAGAAATTAAGGTCCAGTTTGGCTGTGTAATAAAAATTTTACAATCTAATAATGCTATGGAATATGTCAAAGGTGTTATTTCTACATATTGCAACTCTCGTGGTATTTTGTACCAAACCTTTTGTTCTTATACTTAACAAAATGGTGTTGCATAATGAAAAAATATGCATTTAATTGAAATAGCTCGGACTTTAATGATCCATATGCATCTTCCAAAGCCATTTTGGGGCGATGCTGTTTTAACTGCTTGCTATTTAATTAATCGTGTGCCATCTTTCGTTCTTAACTGGAAATGCCCTTATTCCTTTGTTTTTCCTACTCGACCGTTATTTGCTTTTACTACTCGTGTTTTTGGGTGTGTGTGTTTTGCTCACATATTACGTCCTGGTAACTGATAAATTATCTCCTCGTGCCATTAAGTGTGTTTTTATTGGGTATTCTTAGATTCAAAAGGGTTATAAATGTTAGGATCCTAACACTCGTAGTGCTTTTGTGTGCATGGACGTTACCTTTCTTGAGAACACTCCTTATTTCTTCACGTGGTTCGTCTTTAGATACTGAGTTGTTGCTTCCGTTGCCTATTGTGTCACATTCATAAAACCCTGTTGTGTCACATTCATCAGACTATGAACCACCACAGCCACGTCAAGTGCCACAACAACTTCAAGTGCCACTTCATGTGTATAGTCGACGACCACAATTAGCAGCCCCCCAATTGTCTACTTCTATTAAAGCTCCTGTTGCTGTTGATGATCTTCCTATTGCCTTATGCAAAGATACTTGATCTTGTGTTACTGCACATCCTATTTCTAACTTTGTCTCATATAATCATGTTTCACCCTCTTTATCGTGTTTTTTATCCAAACTGTCTGCTACACTTGTTCCCAAGACTTTGCAGGCTGCTCATTCTCATCCTGGTTGGCGACAAGCCATGGTTGATGAAATTGATGCCCTTCATCATAATGGAACTTGGGATCTTGTTCGTTTACCTCCTGGTTGCAACCCGGTTGGTTGTAAGTGGGTTTACACTGTGAAATACCTACATGATGGTTCTATTCAAAGGTTAAAGGCTCGACTTGTTGCAAAATGGTACACCCAGACATATGGTATTGATTATGATGAGACGTTTTCCCTGTTGCTAATATTTCTTCTATTCGAGTACTCATTTCCATTGTTGCCAATCGTAACTGGCCGTTGTTTCAATTAGATGTGAAAAATGCTTTCTTACATGGTTACTTAGTTGTAAAAGTTTATATGGAGCAACCACTTGGGTTTGTTACTCAGGGGGAGTATCGTCATACTGTTTGTCGCCTTAGGAAGGCCCTCTATAGATTGAAGCAATCTCAAAGGGCTTGGTTTGGAAAGTTCTCAGAGGCAGCATTAGCATTTGGTCTTAAAAGATGTTAGACAGACCATTCAGTATTTCACCAGCACACTAAAGCTGGTTTCATTTTCCTTGTGGTATATGTAGATGACATTGTGATCACAGGTGATGATTCTAAAGGTATTGTTAAATTGAAGTTGTTTCTACAAAATCAGTTCCACACTAAAGACTTAGGTCAACTCAGATATTTCTTAGGTATTGAAGTTGCTAGATCCAAGGAAGGTATAAGTTTATCTCAAAGAAAATATGTGTTGGATTTATTAGAAAAAATAGGTATGTTGGGTGGTCGTCTAGTTGATGCTCCTATGGATCCAAATACAAAACTCTTTTCAGATAAGGGTGATCTATTTGTTGATCCTGGCAGATATCGACTTCTTGTTGGGAAATTAATTTATCTCACCATCACTCGACCGAATATCTCATATGCAGTTAGCGTCGTAAGTTAGTTCATAGGATCTCCTAGGATGCCACATTGGAATGTAGTTCTTCGAATTATTCGATACCTTAAGCAAGCTCGAGGGTTTGGGTTGTTATATAAACCAAATGGACATCTTAGGGTGGAAGGTTTCATAGATGCTGACTGGGCTGGTTCTCCCTCAGATAGGAAATCTATTACAGGCTACTGCACATTTGTTGGTGGAAATCTTGTAACATGAAGAAGTAAAAAGCAAACGGTAGTAGCACGGTCGAGTGCTAAAGCTGAGTACAGGACAATGACTCATACCACTAATGAGTTGACATGGATACAACATTTTCTTGAGGAACTTGGTTAATAGTCAAGACTCCTGTTCCATTGTTCTGTGATAACCAAGCAGCTGTTCACATTGCATCCAATCCGGTATTTCATGAAAGAACCAAGCATATTGAAGTTGATTGTCCCTTCATTCGAGAGAAAATATTGAATGGGAACATTTCTACTCCATTTGTGAAGTTTAAAGATCAATTAGCTGGTATGTTTACTAAGGCTCTTGGTCATAATCGGTTAAAGGCGATTTGTTCCAAGCTGGGATTATATGATATATATTCTCCAGCTTGAGGGGGAGTGTTAGAATATTTATATGTAGATATATATTTATGTTAGGGTCAGATGGTATTTATATATAGGGTTTGTGGCCATTATGCAAATGGGTCTTTCTTGTATGGTATATATACCCTTTTATATTCAGGGTTGATGGATGAAGAGAAGCTAAGAGGGCTGCGCCTCTCTCATCAATCTGCTCTCTCTCTCTCTCCCTCTCGCGAACTGTAACAATTTCACACTGACTATTGCTCAAGCGATGACTGATCAAGGATGTGTATAAAATAGCATTAAAGCAGCCTATTTTCATGCTCTTCCAGACTGAGCCCTTTGCTGCCTGAAACTTTGGGTGAGTTTGGAGACATGCCCTTATTGGCAGGAAACTGGAGCAACGATTTGAACTAATCCGTCGTCTCTATGTCATGTGGGTTTCAAGATTCATAAACTAACAAAGCTTAATGCTTGGGTTATGGCAGGAGATTTTTGCAACATATTTGTATTTTATAGATAGCTGACGCTGAGGATTGGTTGAATAACCCCAATTAAGCTATTGGTAGTATTTTTTTGAAAGTTTTTGTTAGTTTAGTAATAGAATATGGTCAATGGATATATTGCATTAAGTATTAATGTCATTGGCCCAATCTTATATGCTGTCTTGTGGAAACATTGGGATAGTCTTACTGGAAATAAAATATATTGTTTGTTGGTATTTCCTATGAAAATTGTGTATAATGGATCTTCTAATACATGTCTTCTCTTATGAATTGAAGTAGAACACTACAAATCACGCACCCTTGAGTGTATCAGTCCTAGCTGACGTCGGCCCCACTTTAATGCATATAATGGTAACAAAAGAATCGGTCGGACTATTAGGCCTCACTATTTGATTAGAATATCATTTACTCTTTTGACCAAAAATGATGCACCAAGCCTCTCTCCAACTACAAATCGAACCGTAGTTTTTTGTACAATTTTTCACAAACATCTAAAAATTATTCTTGACAACCCTTTTGACAAGCTGTCCGTAACCCATGTTTAAGTAATAACAAGCCTAAAGAAAAGAAAAATATCTTGTAGCCATCCTAGTTTCCATAACGTAAGCTACCGTTTCTTTCTTAATGCTTGTGATTCACCTTAAATTGCTACATATATCCACGTCTCCTACAGCTTTTGGTTCTTTTTTGTACTTCCCCAGTCGTCTGGAGTACTGATAAAAGTAAAGTTACAAAGTAGATTTAAGTCGAGCAAAAAAGGGACATGGATGAAGAGTGCAAATTAGTAATTAAACATGCTTCAGAGTCCATTAATTTGTGATATGTTATACAAGAAAGAAGCTCAGCTCTCTCACCTCTATATATAGGTATAGAAGCAAAGCATTTAGCTTCGTTCTCAAACCATATAGGAACAGGGAAAGACCAATCGAGTACTGAAACAATGAGGAGAAGAGGATGAGAAACAAACAGCTCACAATAGCCAGCTAGTGTATATGCATTGTCATTCACTTACCTCCATGTATTGTTTCTGGACGACCTCATAGCTGTTCCTAACCACCCATGCTCCTTTCGGAGATCTTCCAGAGGGCTAATATTTTGATTGTCCACTCATGACAGCATTTACCCTTTCTTATTAGGAGTATTCTTTTGCTACATGCTCTTCACTGATGTTTGATTATTCCCGCAAGTCTCCAGTATGAAACTGAATTGAAAAATAGAAAGAAAAGATTATGAACAAATAATCAAGGAAAGTCCCTCTTATAGAGGACCAAACAAGAAATCAAAAATGAAAAAGAAAAGAAAAGAAAATATATAGGCATACCCTCACATCATATTATTATCATCCAAACCAATACTTGGAATAAAGTTTTGATCCCAAATTTTCTGAATGTGTGTGTTTGGCAGATGCGGTACTTACTTCCAGTGATGTGCACCCTGTGATGTCCAGTTCCTCCAAAGCTACCAAAGCCTCAAGACCCTCAATCTCACATGAGCTCATGCATGAATGAAAGCGTCTCAACATTTTCAAGTTTGACAGATTGGGCAATCTTTCTATGGATGGGCAATCCGACAAATTCAAATATTCCAATGACACCAATGTATGTAGTCCTTTGATCTTATTGAGATTCTTGCAACCAATAGCTTCAAAAAAAATTAACTTGTTTAAGTTGGACAGATCTGGTTTATTTTCTGGGTGTTCGTACCCACTCATCTCTGAGGACGCTAGAGATGCCGAACATTCGAGCAGATCAAGTGAGGACGCTAGAGATGCCGAACATTCGAGCAGATCAAGTTCAGCTATTTTAGAGCACCAACGTATACAAAAACTTGCCAGTGATTCTAGTTTTCCAAGTCCTTGAATCTCTGTCAACTCAACGCACCTATCTATTGTCAAACTTTCCAGCAATTCCAGATCTCCAAGTCCTTCAATCTCTTTCAGATTAAGGCAACATTCTATTCTCAAACTTCTCAATGATTCCAGTTTCCCAAGCCCTTGAATCTTTGTCAGCTTATGGCATGCATAAAGAGTCAATTCCTGCAAAACCTTCAAATTTGACAGATCTGGTAATATTTCCAATGACTGACCACCAACAATATGTAATCCAACCAGACTGGGAGGTAAACCCAAAATACATTGAAGTTCATCACATGATTCTAGATTGAGAATTTTGAGCCGAGAAAGGGAATCAATCTCTTTCGGTAAGGTCATAATGTTGCTAAATCCAAAGTCCAACCTCTGCAAATTGGATAGTTTATCAATACCTCTGAAGAACTCCACAAGCTTTGTGTGAGTCATGTTGTCATAATTACACAGCAGCTCTTGCAGATTAACCAGATTTGCAAGATTAGGGATAACATGCAATTTGAACAAATAGACATTCAGAAATTCTAAACATGAGGGAAGCTCTGGCAGTGTTTCGAGATCACAGCAGTCTCCTAAGTCAAGGGTTTGGAGGTAAGAAAGCTTGCAAATGCTTGTTGGTAGGCTTCGAATTCTGGTAGAATTAAAGTTTATGTATCTCAAAGACGATAATTTCCAAATGTCACTTGGAATGTTACCCGTCAATCTAGAGTGACGTGCATCTATAATTTCCAGCATCTTTAACATCCAAATTTCATCAGGTAGCTCCCGTATTTCAGTGAATGAAATGTCGAGCACTTTTAAGTTTTTTACCATCTGTTTAGAAGATGCATAAAAATATAGGATCAATCATCTCCAATATGTATGTATGTAATGGGAGACAAGAAATATAATGAGAGTAGAGATTTTAATATATATATATACATATACATACACACACCTTAATTTGACTCCAACCGTTCCAGTTTTTTGTGATGAAACTATGTGATAGATCAAGTATGACTAGTTTTCTCATATGAAAATTGGTTGCTTCAAAATGTGGAGGGCAATATTGCCAACGAAGCCATCTTAATCTTGAGAAGTGATGCTTGAAATCCCCAACAAGTTGTGCTCCATCTACTTGAAGATACCTCAGATTAGATAGTTCCGGGAATTTGTAATGGTCACAAGGCCTTCCATAAATACCAGGTCCAAGACTTAGGAGCTGGACGTTATCCGTTCCCTGTCAATGGAAAACCCATAAAAATAAGTATACAGATCAGAAAATCAATTTGCTAACAAAAAAAAAAAAAAAAAGAAAAAAGGAAAAAAAGAAAAAGAAAAAAAGAATTACAAATATTAGGTATTAGTTGAATTTTTAATTGTTTAAAAAAAGTAGCAATTTTTAATGACTTCTAAAACAATAATGGTTAATTGTGTTAACAACTAATTTTAGCTTTACCTAGAAAAAAATTTATAATTAAAAAAGAATTAAGTTAAAATTGGGTTAGATTAAGGTGATCAAACGTTGATATCGTCTTTTTTATTTTATTTTCTTTTCTTTTTTAAATCATCATAAACCTATAACTCAAAATAGCTTGAAATAATTGAAAGACCATCCATAACATTGTAAACACTACACCAACCTACATGTAAGAGATGCCTACTTTTTTCGCTTGTGCTAGTCCTAGTACTACTACTTGTAACAAGAACATGCTTAGTTTTGACTTTTAAGGACACCTTAAATTGAGTTTCATTTTCAATTTAAATCCGAGATGAGAATTGTCCAAGCCCGTCATAGATGACGCTGGCAGATTCAGGTTCGCCAACAAAGTAACTCCCTATTTAGAACCTTTGCAGACGCTACCATGAATATTTTGCGTGTATGTGTGTAATATGAGATGATATGAAGAACAGTTAATAAAATATTAATCAATGCAATAAAGGGCATAAATTCAGTGCAATCAAATTTTACCGTTTGTCCCTCCAGGACATCCAAGGCTTCCTCTTTATCCCATAACCTACTTTGCATTCCTACATTCTCCGGATTTTCTTGACAGACGATTGCTCTACCGAGATCTCTTAGTTGATCATGCATTTTCAGCACATTATCATTATCAATTTTTACAAGAGACATGAGACAAAGGACACTAATTTCCGTCTCTGGATAATAGCCACATTCATCCCACATGTAAAATGGATATGTTTTATCCATCCCAATAAAAAGAGTTGCAATATCAAGAAATATCTGCTTTTGCTGATGGTTTAATTCATCATAACTTACTCTCAACTTCTCCTGAACTTTATCATTTGGTATATTCTTCAATTTCTTCAATGTATCTTCCCATATTTTTTTCGGCTTGTCAGATAGAAATGAACCTATAACCTCAAGAGCTAAAGGAAGCCCTGCAGTAACCGACACAACCTTTCTAGAGATACCATTATAGTCTGTTCGAGGAACCCTTTTCCGGAAAGCATGAATGCTGAGAAGTTGAAGAGATTGCTCAGGGTTCATAAATGGGGGTTCATAAGTCTCATTCACTTCAAGTGTATTTAAAACATGCTTGTTTCTAGTTGTAACGATGATCCTAGTTCCTGGACCAAACCAATCACGATTTCCCACAAGCCAATCAAATTGAGACTTTTCATTCACATCGTCAAGAACAATGAGAACTTTCTTTTTGCGAAATCGATGCTTGATAGTTTCGATTCCATCATTAAAATTGGTAATGTGAGATTGCCGTCTAAGAGTGTCAGTGAGTAGCTGGTTCTGCAAATCAACAACACCTTTATATTGTTGCACTGTTTCTCGAACATCTGCGAGGAAGCTACTACAATCAAAGCACACCAAGAGTTGGTTGTAGATGAATTTGGCAATAGTTGTCTTGCCAATACCACCCATGCCATAGATACCAACAATCCGTTTATCATTGGAGCCAACATCTAAATATTTCATCATTTCATTTAAATGATGATCCATCATGACCAACTTGTCAGTTGTAAGGTCCATATATTTCTTCTTTAAGTCCAACAATACTGTTTGAACAATCCTTTCTACTAGTTGTCCTTGATGCCTGATTGAGATTAAAAATTGAAGTAAATTAACAATAAGCAAAATAATGATGTCTTCTACCTTTGTGTTTGTCACTTTAATTTGATACTAGTATTGAAAGAAATAATGGGTATATGATTTTACTGGATTCCAACCAACCTCTTATGAAGTTCCTATATATGCTAGTTTTTAACATATGGGTTTATTAGTAGCTACTAGCTTAGATAGGAAGGAATTAACATACCCATCAGCTTCTTTGTTGACTTGCCAACCTTTGAGTGCTCCAACCTCTTTGAGTGCCTCTCTCCATTTCACAAGAGTGATTTCATCAAAACACGTCTCGTGCACGCGAAAGGCTTCCCCATAACTCCCAGATTGATGCCGAACCTCGGAAGGTTCAACATCATAGAAGATGGGTAAAATGGATTGTCCGGTGATTCTCTTGCAATCCACCATCTGAGCGAGCTCACGGAGGCACCATTTACTGGAAGCGTAGTTTTTGGAGAATATTGGGATGGAGATCTGTGACTCTCCGATTGCTTTGAGGAGCTCTGGCCAGATCTCTTCTCCTTTTCGTAACTCCTCGTCGTCTCGGAAAGTGCGAACTCCTACACTGTCAAGATTGGTGTAGAGGAAATCGGTGAAGGTGAGTCGAGTGTCTGGGCCTCTGAAACTCAAAAACACTTCGTATTCGCCGCCTCCTCCTCTTGGAACAGGCGGGGACGTGGATGAAGCCTCACCGTCCATTTGAGATTGAGTGGATGAAACCCTTGCCCTTGCCCTTGCCCTTGCCCTTGCCATTGCCTCCATCACCAACAATTAATTAACAGGGGTATTACCAACCCTGTGGAGCCTACAAGATCTCTCTCTTCAGTACTGTTTGGCCTTTGTGTCTGCAAATACAGACATTCAAACACCCCCAAGTTATTTATGCATTTCCCTTTATGGTGTTTTGGTAATGGATCTCCAAATTCATCTAGAATTGAAAAAATAGAGGCGCAAAACAACCAAACAGCCAAATTAAACTTTCCAAGTCGAAGCTTAGATCTCTATCTTCAGTACTGTTTGGCCTTTGTGTCTGCAAATTCAGAAAAAAAGAACAATTTATGTTTCGGCAAAAGAGGAAGCCCACGATTATTAAAAAATAAAAATAATAATAATAATAATAAATAAATAAATAAATAAATAAAGCAGCCTCGGATTGAGCACGAGCCGAGCACACACCACAACGTTCAAGCTCAGTTAGAAGCCGTCCACGAGCTATTCGAGCTTCGCTCCATAAAGTCTTTCCACCCCTCTTCGCCCCGTGCCTGTTGCGTAAGGTTTCGTTTGGATACGGAGGAGAGAAAAGAAAAGAAAGGATTAGATCAGAAAAGAAAAGAAAGGAAAAGAAATGAAATGATAGGTATAATATTTGGATAAATAGGAAAGAAAAGAAAGAAAAACATAATATGCTTGTTTGGATAAAACAGAGGAGAGAAAAGAAAGGAAAGGATAATAATGAAATTACTATATTATCCTTTTATATATTTTGATAAATTATCATTCATAACTTGATAGTATACTGATTTTTTTTTTCTCTCCCTCAGTTTCATTGGAAACTAAAATTAATAATAACTAAAAAAACAAGATAACTTGATAGCATACTAGTGTTGTTGTTTTTTTTTTTTTAATAAGTAACTTAATAATATACATATAACTTGATAGCATACTTCGAAGATAGATAGATAAATCTGTTCAACACAGAATATAGAGACTTTCAAGTTTCAACCAGTTCAAGGTTCATACAAAAAAAAAAATTCAGTGGAGAAGACCCAAATGAAGCAACTGACCCAAAGGGTAATTTGGTCAGAAAAAATTAGCTCACAAAATTGTTAAACCGAGATAAGTTAAATCACCCCCTCTTTGTAGTTGAAGAGGATTTCTTACAAAAATACATTTATAAGGGAATTTCTTACAAATGAGTAATAGTCAAGGGGGATTTTTTTCAATTCACTCTTTAAATAACCACCGTAACAAACCCACTTTTCTACTTTTCTACTTTTCTAATCTAGCAAAACCACTATTTTACCTATTTCAAAATTTTCTAAACCACTTTTCTTTCTCTTTAAAGTTTCCTAAACTAATATTATGAAAAAAACTATCATCCATCAAAACAAATAATTTTTTAATCCTTTATTCTCGCCTTTGTTTCTCTTTCAGTTTCAGCAAACCCAAAAACTATGCAGCACCAAATCATCTTTTTGCTTGATCTTCCTGGACTTTTTCTTTCTTTCTTTTTTTTTTTTTTTTTTGGGTAAATTTCTGCTAGAGTTTTTTTAATTAATAAAGAAATATAACTCTTAAGATGCTAATTTCAGTTGCATAAATATGAAAAGCATAAAATATTTTACCCAAATTTATTGGGCTTAAAACTCTCTTATATCGAAATATTGATTAATACTAATAAAAAAAATTGATATTATTTACTAATATTTCTTTATTATATACAAACATGTCTAGCAAGAAGCTCAAGAAACAAAGGAAAAAAAGGGTAATATTGATTAATACAAATAAAAAAATGGGTAATATGATTAACATGTTTTTATTAATACAAACATGAAGCTCAAAAAACAAAGTAAAAATGATCTCACTTTCTATGGATAAAATTTCTTGCTGGATGGTGAGCAAGAGATCACCTATATATATATTATGATAAGTGATGAGCGCAGAAAAGTGTGCAATTAAATCCCTTAAGCTCAGGTATTCTAGAACTTTTATCAATCTTACTTTTCCGTTTTAGACTAATTTCATATTATTATCCTTTTTAGGTACTTATCTCAAAAATAGGTTAATTCAGCCAAATAAGAGCTTAAAAGAAGCAATCTTAAGGTGAATGGAAGAAATGAGCAAAGTGGAAGCAAAATGAAGCAAAGTGTGGAAATCAGCATGTTCGATTGATCTCAACATTCTTTCGATCAATCAGAGCAACATCGATCTGGACACTTCAAGATGGATCCAAGCAATTGGCCTGATCCAAAAGATCTCAGCATGTTTAATTGATCCAATCATTCTTCGATCGATCGAAAATATTCGATCTTATCCACACTTACCACCCCACCTACCACTCTTGTCTCTTTCCCAAAATATCTCAGAGATTTGTCTTTATTCAAAAAGGCGCCGCTAAGGATGGATCGATCTCTGCAGCATTCGATGGATCTCACCTCAATTCGATTGATCTCAACATAGTTTGATTGATCGAACCCTCTCAAGTGCGAATTAAATCAAATTCCAGCTCATTAAAAGTTGTCTCATGGTGCAATCATTACAAGGACCTTAGTGCACGAATCCAGACCATTGGGTGTGACACTTGAGCCTCTTATATAATAATTTTGAGCCATCTTTACACAAAGCTTGGAAGATCTTCAATACACATATACTTAGAAACATTCTTAGGGAAAAAGAAAGGAGAGGAAGAGAGGCTAGAGACACATTATTAGGAGTTCTTCTATTCTTCTAGGGTCTACATCAAGAAAGAGGTCATTCCTACCATGGAGATAGCCCTTGAGGGTTGGATGACTACTTCAATGAGTGGCTAAACATCTTCTTAGGGCTAGAGTTAGCCCTAAGCATGCCTTCTAGACTCTAATGCTTTGTATTTTGAGGGGATTTGTGTTGTAAACTTATCTTGACACTTATTTTATATATGAATCTTATTTATTCAATGATTTGTGTGGTTTAATACTTCCAATTGATCATTTTATTCTATCTATATATCTATGTATGCTAGAATAGATGTTCATGTGTTTATATCTAGTTTTTTGTGTTACTGATGCATGTCTATGTGTGTTGATGCTATGGATCTAGAGATTGTCAAGACATAATGCTTAATAGAACACTATTGTGGTTTATTTGATGGTTCATACTCATGTTTTGATAGATTGTGCCTTTCCCTTAGTTTATTTAGTTTAATTTTCATGCCTTTAGCTTAGTTGTAGTGTAGTTGCCTTAGTTGTTAGATGGAAGGACAATCCATGCTTATTGTTTGATGTTCCATACTTATGAATGCAAGTAGTATTATTCTTTAACCATATGATGTGTTTGGATTGTGAGCTTAAAGGAAGGACTAATGGCTTATTTTGATGTATTGTGCTATTCACTAGGTTGCTTAGACAATATATGCTTAATTGGTCATCCATGCTTGTTAAAACAATCAATCACACACTTTCAAATTGCAACACATGTTTCCTCTCATTAATTATACATTGAATGTCTAGAATAATGATGTTTAGTGGTGACCTCTAGACCCCAAGACCTCACTCTCTTGTTTTCTCTAAATTTCATTTAAATTGATTATTCTACATTGAACTTGTTTAGTTTAGCTTATAGTCTAATCAACCAAACACACCACCTTTTGATCGTTCGACCTACTAAACCTATACATTGTTTCCATTGCAAGCACGCCTATAATCCCTTGGGACGATCCCTACTCACCCTAGCTATATTTTTAGTTAGAGGTAGTAGTGGTTTTTATATATTTAAAACTTGGTCACATTGCACACTCACACTCTTAGTGCACATTTTTAGACGTTGGTGCAAGACACACTAAGTTTTTGGCGCCGTTGCCGGGGATTTGAATTGGCAACGCCGTGTTTTGGAAACAAATAGGAATTAATACTCTTTTGATCGTGTCTTTACTTTATTATTATTATTATTTTTGTTACTTATTGTGTTTGTTCTTGGTTAGCTAGGTGCATTGAGCTAAGAGAGTTAAACAAAGGAAATTAAAGAGCAAAGGAAGCAAGGAAGCCAAGTGAAGTTAAGCAAAAGCACAAAAAGGAGCTAAAATCTTAAAATTTGCAAAGCATAGCATGGCTTGAAACTTGAAAGTTTAATTGAAGTTGCTTAAGAACCCTTTGTGAGACCTTTCTAACTCAATCTCTAGTTAAATCGTCAGCCCGCGTGGTGGCAAGTTTTTCATTTCATAGATAAATCATGAGCCTGCGTGGAGGCAATTTACTTTTACTTTACATATTGTTCAAACATGGGAGTATGGGATCAATGTATGTGGAGAATTTTTGTTGATTGACTTGTTGTGGGGGCGAAGTGATTGTTATTTGCTTGTTATTTATTTTGCTAGTGCATGCATAGTCGTAGGTCATTAAATCCTACTCTTGTCCCTCTTAATTTTCATATTGAATCAGTTGTTTGTAATTCTAGGGGAAGAGGTAGTTCTCATCACTCCATTTTACCAATGAAGGAATTAAATTAAGACTATGTGGAGGACTTTAGTCACATAGACCAACAAGGCATCCTCCACCCTAATGTGCATCATGAAAATATTCAAGTACCATTAGGCTTGCCTAAACCATTCATTCCACCACAACAACAAGGCCAAATTCCATTGGGAATGCCTAGGCCAATTTTTGCTCCACAACCTCCCATTATGCAAGGCAATCAAGGTGTCCGAGTGGCACCGCCGGTTGTAAATCCCCACATTGCTTTAAGAGAACATTATGTGCCTAATGAATACAATGCACCTACTTGCATTCAATTACCCTCATTTAGAGCACATCATTATGAGATTAAACCACAAGCCATTCAAATGCTTCCCAACTATTATGGACTTCTAAGTGAAGAACCTTATAAGCATTTGGATGAGTTTCTTGAAGTGTGTTCCACCGTGAAGCACACGAACGTGCCAGAAGAAGTGTTAAGACTCAAAAATTTTCCTTTTACCCTTAAGGACAAGACAAAATATTGGTTCAACAATCTTAGACCTTTTTTGATAACTTCTTAGGCAGAAATGCAACAAGAGTTCTTGAAGAATTACTATTTGGTTTCAAAGACCAATGTTATGAGAACTTCCATTCATGAATTTTTTTAAGGAGATGAGGAAATGTTTCATGAGGCATGGGAAATGTTTAATGATTTACTTAGGAAGTGCCCACATCATGACATACCTAAGTGGCAACTAGTTCAATATTTATTTGAAAGTTTACCGGATAATCACAAAGGTATGGTTGATGCATCTATGGGTGGTTCTTATCTTGATAAGCATGAGGATGATGTGTGGCAATTGTATGAAAGTATGAGTGAGAATTCAGTGGATAGATCTTTGTCCTCTAAAATGGTAGAAATCTAGGTGGAAAGAAAAATGTTGGTTTATATCAAGTTAATAACTCCAATGACATAGCCACCGAAATGAAATCCTTATCTCAAAGGTTTGATCAATTTTTGATTAACCAAACTTTGGCGAATCAAATGTCTTTCTCCCCTAACCATTCTCATCGTGCATCTAATGAATCTTACATGACTTGTTCAAGTGTTTTACAT